AGGTCCTCATAAACATTACAGCAAAATGATAAGCATTCAACAACCATTTATTTAGCAATTCTAGCATTTTAGCAATCCTAGCAATTTAGCAATCCTTAGCATTGCCCTCCCTTCTTTGGAAATCAGTCTCTTTGGACGTTCATGAAAATGTGTGGTTAGGAAGGATACTTATACTTTCTGCTGGAAAAGATATATATTCCTTAGACATAGGTGGGAGGAAATAGAGTAGTGAGGATCTCTAACAGAAAAAGGCCTACATAATACAACAAGCTCCCTGCAAGTTTTGTATGTCAGGAAAAGTGCCTCTGTGCCTAAGATACTTTGAATCTGCTTACAAGGTCAAATACGACCTCACTTTGTTTTTTTTTTAAATCTCTGCCAATAGATTTGTTAAGTGTTTTCATGAACACTGGCTTTGTAAAACAATCATGCCTTACTTTAAGAAAACCAACTATTTGAATATCTGGATTTAAAAAAATATGTAGGAGTCCATTTGCTCTAATTAAGGATTCCTTTCAATAAGAAAGTAATAAACTTTTAAAATATGATTCAATACAAAAAATTACACAGAAATTTCAAGAGCACCATCATTGAGCACACAGGTACTCAGTAATTACTTCCTGGTTGGATGAACATACCTATTGAAAATCAGTAGAGTGAAATGGACAAGAGCGTGGGTTGGGATCCAGCTATTCCTGTGTTCGGATTCTCTCTCTGCCATTCATTAGCTAGGTATGACCTTCAACGAGTGACTTAACCTCTCAAGGCCTCAGTATTCCTAATAGAGAAAAAACAAGCAAGTAATGCCTCCCTTGAAGTTAGTTGTATTAAAGGAAAGATATAGGTAAATAAAACACTGACATATTTTATCACATATTGCATTTTATCGTGTATTTTAATATCAGGTCCGATTTCATTTACTTATTTCTGCTTGCCTGAATGAAAGCAAATGAATGGCAAGAACAAAACACAAGTGTCATTATATCTTCAGAGATAATAGGTAACTATACATGAATACAATTACATATTTCTTTTTTTAAAAAAAGATTTATTTATTTATGTATTCATGAGAGACACAGAGAGAGAGGCAGAGACATAGGCAGAGGGAGAAGGAGGCTCCCTGTGGGGAGCCAGATGCAGGACTCCATCCAAGGACCCCGGGATCACAACTTGACCTGAAGGCAGCTGCTCAACCACTGAGCCGCACAGGTGCTCCACATATTCAATTTCTATATCTATATCTATAGCACCGGAACAGTGCCTGGTACATGGTACATGTTTGGTAAATGGTGGTTAGTATTATGAAAAGTAACACAAAATACTCTGAGGTTTTGACTCCCAATTTTCATATCCACAAACCAATTTTGTGCATAACACTCTAGGACACTTTATTGCAGTGGTACACGGTAAAAGACTTTGTGTAACTGAGATTTTTTCTTATGGCCTTAAAATTATGAGAATACAATTAATAGGTATAGAAGTAAACTGTGGCAGCTTGAACAATTGCTAACATCTATTGAGTGTGTGATGATTAGTCATTCTGCAGAGTAAATACTGTGACTTAATATCCTGTCCAAGTTTATTTGATAGTGTCACTTGCTTCCCACTTTCTTAATTAAAAATGCTAAATGTAAATGTTTTATTTAATTTCCCAGACCAGAATTGAATATCAGGTGTTTGGAACTGGAAAGGTAAACATGGTACAAATACTTCCAATCCAGAAACTAAATGAATGTGTTCTTTCAAGTGACCAAAGTTTTCTTCTCTTACAATTTTCTGGCCTTTTCTCACCCCCTTTACCTCCTGGCACTTCTAGTTTGTTTAATAAAGTTCAGAATTCTCACAAAGAGCCTTATAAACACGTGTTATGAGATTTTAAATCTGATTCGAAAGTGCCTCTCTCCTACTCCCTCTGAGTAAAGTGACCTTTTTAAATGGAGGGAAGTGGGTTTAGATGACAGTCATGATAAATGCGGTCATGTTCACTCAATAAAATAAGGCCCAGTGCATTTGAGGATAAATCAGTGAAATGTACAGCCCCACCTGTCTGTCTCCATCATTCATTTCCACTGTCACTTTCACAGTAGCTGATGGATCACAGTTGCTGTAAAATTAGACAGCCTTTAATCTCATTTCATCCTGATTAGCTTCTCTTTACCCTTTCCCTCTAACTCACTGACTGACACGCTAAAAACTCGCACTGGGCTATAGATGAACATGAGCACAAACTTCTCCTCCAATACCTGCCTGTGAGGGCAAGGCCAGTGTCCACCTCTCGAGAAATATGGAAAGGGTCAGGCATGTATACCTTGTTATTTAAAAGATAATCAATACATGCAGTACCCGTGCCATTTGAAACAGATGTTTGCTATCGCTCACTGCCCTATTTATTTTGATTTGCTTCAGGTTTAATCAGAAGTCAAATTAGGTCTTTTGCAAAACTCAAACATTGATTTAATATAGATTTTTTTAAATAAATTTGGAACGTTTCGCGTTCAGAATAATTTCAAAGAGTTATTTGTGTGTATTTATAGCCTCTCGATTCATGGTAATAATTTAGAAAACACGATAATTCAGGAATGAGAATACTAAAATACCCAGCCTAGAAATATAGCATACAAGGTTTAAAAACAAGAGTAAAAAAAAGTGGGAATGCCTTCAAGTAGCCTTTATATTAGGACTTCAAAGACCTTCTCTCTTATTTTGAAGGTTTCCGTAGTTTAGTGCAATAGTTTCATTTGTTTGCATAAAGCATAACAATAGGGGTAATCAAATGAAAAAGAGGCTTAAGAATAAATCATGTATTATTTCCTTCACTTAATTTCTGCTTGCCTGAATGGGAGCAAATAAATGGCAAGAACAAAACACAAGTGTTATATTTTCAGAGATGGCGTTTTATTATCAAACCGGACTTTTAGTTAAAAAAGATGATAATACAGTTTTTCATTATTTATAAGGTTTGGGCATGGAGCTGACCAAAAATTTAAATATTGAAAGAGCAGCAGTCATAACGTAAGTTGGTTATAGTCAATAGCCTCTATTCTCATTCTCGGGTCCCATGTGAATAGATGCATGCAGATGACAATCAATGCTGTGACTTCACACTGCCCAGATGACATGATGATGAACTGGAGTAGTGCCAGGCTGTTCACAGTATACACAATATACATCACCTATGAGGAGCATAGTTTTCTGTTTGCTATTTTGGAACTAGCATCCTAATCTAAACAATGATGATTAATTCTTTTTAATGTTCAAAACATATTTCATCTTAGTTGATCAGTGAACTCAACATATATCCTGCCCCAATGGATTCTGAGAAACTATGTGGTATCCCTGCAGAGCCATCTGTTTAAAATCATTTTCCAAAGAGATAACTGAGGGTTGAGGCGCAGAAGGACATCCCCAACATGACTCCCTAAGTCAATGACCTAATTAATGGGCCACACAAATCCGTGGCACATCCACTTTCTACATTATCACCGAAATCTGGGGTTTTCGTATCAATGCCTTCTGGCGTTGTAAGTTCAAAAACAATGAATATTCATAGTAAAAAAAAAATAACTAAAAAAATAACTCAAACTCCTAAAATCCTTTAGTAAGAAGCTTAAATGATCTGATTTGCTCTTTCAGAAGCTGGGTTACAGATTTCAAGGCTATGCCTGGTTCCTTATGAATTTTATTTACCTATCTTAGCCAGCATTAAGTGCATTCTGAAAAAAATAAAAGACAGGAAAAGCAAAATGAAATGAGAGATATAGATCATCCAAAATACATTGGATGTAAGATAGGCTCTCTCTCTCTCTCTCTCTCTCTCTCTCTCTCTCTCTCTCTCTCTCTCAGCATTGGCAAAAGAGCACAAAGTAGGAGCTGGCCCTGAGTCATATTGATTTCCCACCGCACTGGTTTCTTAAGTGCTCTGCTGATCCGTGTCAAGCAATAAGTTCCCCGCCTGAACATGCACATCACCTCCCCATTTGTCCTCACCTAGATTTAAGGTGCCCATATGATGAGCTGAACAAGGACATCATTTTTCCTACTGGTGTCACTGGGTCCAAACCACCACATGTGATACGATAACTAATTCTGTGTAAGTATACATGTGCCATATGATATTATAATAGCAGAGCCCGGCCCTGCGCTGCACATGGGGTGACAGGGCTGTCCTAGTCTCACTGTGCCTGTCCCCAAAAGAGAATGTAAATGAGAACAAACAAATACAGAGAAACCAGGCTTTGGTGGGTTTCTGAAGAATACGCCCTCCTCGCAGCTACCATGCAAGTTGGGGCAGGGGAGGGGGGAGGGTGAGACCAAGGGAATGGATATTTGTGATGTTCCTGACAGTTTTTATCTTTGTTCCAGAAGAGCTCCTAAGCAGATAGATAGAAAATGTGTGATTGTGCTGCTAATGACATTGTACAGGAGATTAAGCGTATACATTTGGAGAAGGCATTAAATCAGCAGGACCTTAATTTAAAAACTTAAAACTGTATGGAAATTCAGCTTGCTCATTGCTGTGGAATAGAAAGCTCCCAAGCACCCTGAGTCTGTTTATGGAAAGATTGCCAGCAAACCAAGTTTGGGCAGAGCATCTTCATGGCTCCAAGTGTACTTGGGGTTATTTCTTCCAAGAAGTAACCCCCAGCCCTGACCATTTGGGAGTATCCGTCATTGCTTTAGAATGCGATCCCCATCGCCACCGGGCAGGTGAGGGGAACTCAAGAATCGAAAGCAGCATGACAGGTTGTTCTTGACTAATTTGCGGAATAACATTATGTAAAATTCATCAAAAGGGGTTGGGTTTGAAATTGCTGTGAACACACGGCTGAGCCACCGTGGATTGGCGGGTGCCCTGCTCTGCTGCTTGTGCTCTCTTCTTCCTTCCCACTCACTCGCACATTTCATGCCCTGTGGTGGAAGCAAGTAACTGGTGAGCCAAGGTGCCGAGTCCTAAGGTGGAGACTTTCATGCATCTTTTTTCTCCCCCCCCCCAATTCCAGTTATGCCGTACAACAGTGCCCACCACTGCGTCGTGGAGGTAGAAAACTTCTTGTTTGTGCTGGGTGGAGAGGACCAGTGGAACCCCAATGGTAACTATTGAACTCAACAAGTATGCGTGTTGCGGAAGGCGCTGGTAGCAGCCCGTTTTGTAATTACTGTGGAAAATACATTTCTGTGAACAGGGACAAATGAAGCAGTCGGTAAATTGGGCTGACAATTGGAGGGAGGGTCAACCATTGAGCTTGCAGAGGACGCACGCAGTGGAGCATTCGCTCATGGGCCGCCTGGGGATTTGGCTTCGCAGTGCCGCCCCAGCCCCTCTCCTTATCCGTCCCCTGAGGAACGCCACGAGCATCAGCACAGACTCCCCAGAGGCAGGTAGCAAGCTGCAGCTATTAAGAATTCTCACCACCTTCTCCACCACTTTTCTCCCGCTCTATCAGTATAAGGATGCAGTTTCCATAAATAAGCTTTATCTGCGGTCATAGCGCACAGCCCCAGTTGAAGATCTTTCGCAGCCTTGGTTGCCTGAGACCCATTCTGGTGGCTGCACCTTGTGCAAGGCTCCCCACCATCCTCCCTGTTGCTGTGATTACTCCATAAACTGATCGCAAAGAGAAATTGCACGTTTTAACCCGCTTCCCCACCCAGCCAACACGGTGCCTTGCAGAATACGCAAAATTATCAAGATATTTTTGGAACGCCTGCACATGAGGGAGGAGTCGCAGTTGTAGCCTTCTGTGTAACAGAGATCATTATGACTGAGAAACCATAAAACAGCTTGCAGGTACACATTTTTACTTTAAAACCCCAGAACATCCAAGTGAAATTACATATACTGCGTATATTTTATTGTGAATGCTCTCTTTCAGCATCTGCACCAAGGCAAATTATAGAAAATTGTTACATCTGTTCACTCTAGAAAATCTTAAAGGAAAACAACCCAGGCCACCCTTCCAAGAACATTTCTTTGAAGAGAGCAGGACGTTCTTTCTCAAAACCTGCAGCTTTTTCGGTTCCCATCCTTCAGCGTTCCAAAGGGGACAGTTCCTGAGCTTCGTGAGAAACAGGTTCAGAACAGGAACAAAAGCGATATTTAATATCTCTCCGCTAACTTATCTTTGCAATGACACACTTGACGTGTTCCCCAAAAACGCTGGCATATGTATAATCCACTGTAAGTTCCCCATTTACTGTGTAACCTGTTGTCCTTCTGAAGTGGTTTGAACTGAATAGAGCCTTTGTAAGTACATAGTGCACAGCGATCGGGTTTATCTAAGCAAAGAATCTGCAGAACGGTCTTTTTGAAGGCCAGATTAAAACTAACACATGACAAGAGAAGGCTGCAGAGTCCTGATTCTGGGGACAATGCTCTGTTAGCCCACCTCCCTCCCCAGGTGGAGCAGGCCTCTGTAAAATATGCGTCTTGGTGTGACCACTTGGTGTTTGCAAAACTTCCCATTCCTCTGAGACACACTTTTTCAGCAACACAGGAAACCTGCTCCCTGGGTTATGCACCCTCCACCCCCTCAAAATAACCTGTATCTGCTTCCTGTTCAGCGTCTATCACACACAGCTGACAGATTGGTGAAGGGAGGGTGGATAGGGAAGAGCATTATGAACGCATTTCTTCCTCTGGTCTATAGAGTCATGGTTTATCTCTGGACTAATTCAGATTCCCATAAAACTGTGCCATTGGACCTCACTGATTTGCCTCCCCCCACCCCTGAGAGGAACAGGAATTCAGTTGAAAGCCCTCAATGAATATGCTGCAACAAAAGACTATAGAAAACACAGTGTTGCATTTACTGCAGGGATACCTGTCACTGTCACCACTCAGCGTGCCCCATGTGAAGACTCATGTGACAAATTCTTGCTAGACTGCAGTACTAAGGCATTGTGTGCTTTTGAAAATTGCCACTAATGCATTTGTGTGATTTAACATGTCTCTCCTTTTTTTGCTTTGGCCACTAGGAGGCTCATAATTGAATTATAGAAAGACTCTAATAACTATTTTAACTTTACATAACTCTCAATAAGGGCCTGGCAGCTAACTCTTTTAGAGTTATGGGAGTCCCACCTACAAAGCTGAGTCACTCTGTCCCTGAAGGGGTATTTGGTACAACAAGTCATTTGTACAGATCTGGGCAGATGCTGATGAGTCACTGAGCTGGCTCTCCTAAACAGAGGAGAATCAGTCACCTCAGGAGGCAAGCAGGCCAGTCTTCTGTGCCCCTGGGTCAATCACTCAGTCATTGGCTGAGGCCTTCACCCAGGGTCAGGGGAAGGATAGGCAGGGATATGGCCTGTATGGCTGAGAATAATTCCCCAGGGGGGAGCTGCTATGACAATGAGCAACCTGGGAGCGCAGGTACCAGTCTGGTAAAGGTATCTGGGCTAGGTACCAATCACACAGCCACCACAATCCTTTAAACATTTTTCATGTAGCTTTATATTCCAACCATCTGGTCAACCATAGCTGACCACCTTTTATTTTATTTTATTTTTTACATTAAATACTACATTAACAAGTAGTATTTATTGAGTACTAATTATTTCACAGGAATTTGCTAAGCACTCACCTGCATCATTTTACTTAATCCTCACACCCATCCTGGGAGGCCTGTTCCATGATTGTTCTAGTTTTTCTATGGGAATCTAAGCCTGAAGAGGTGAAAGGACTTGCCAGGTCACAGAGCTTGCACGAAGATGGACTGATTCCTACCTAGGTCTGTCTGCTTTAGTCTTTAAGGCTTGTATAACATTTCCTCCTCACACAAACATATGTATTTTGCTAGATACTAAATAACAATCATGTTTTTGCCTTGATTTTGTGAAATTAGGTCAGTATTCTATCATAGTGGAAAGTGGTTCTGATTCTCAGGGAACTCTTCATTTCTCATTTAGAAAACTGTGCAGGGACTCAGTCATCTCAAAAATATGGGATTTTCATCTTATAATACCTTATACACTTAAAAAGTAAGCAGTTAATACCAAAACTTATCAAGAATAGCAATCCTATGATAATATAGAACTTTAATTTCACTGCTACCAGGGAGGAAAAATTTAAAATCCGTGAATTCAAATGCTTTGGATATGTCAGTTCCAAAGACAAAATCTTAAGTTAAACTTTACTTCTTATGAAAATGATGCCTGAGATGCATGTCTTGGGATGAAATAGAAAATTGTGAATTTGAATACATTCTCATAAAACATATACTCGTAAAATACAAATATAATTTCATTTCTCTATTATCTTGATTACAAGACCAGAATTTGAAATCATAAAACATATTAGTTACTGGAAATTTAAACAGGATACATACACTGTTTTTCTAGTCAGCTATAGATATTAAATCTTATTGACTCCCTTCATGTCATTAATGACAGGAATGCATTATAATATTCTAATACATATGCATATGTTCCGTCAGTGTCCCAGATTACAGGAAAATGACTTATATTTGTCACTTACTGATGATTCACTCCCCAAAACACTGCCTATGGCAGTTCCTTTCCTTCCCCCTTCTTCCCTTTGACCTCTGGCTGGAAACTGCCACCCCATGCTCCATTTTACCTGTCACCTAAAGGGTAGTCAACAATGGTGTCTGGTGACAGGGCATCATCACAAAAAGAGAAGAAATTGGGGAAGATTTAAGAAAAAAAATAGAAAAGATGAGGAGAGACTAAAGCATTATGGCTAACTAAAGCATTATTCCATTATGTGGAATAATCCAAAATTCCATTGCACGTGGCTACCACTCTCAAGCTACTGATAGAGTCCTAAGAGAAGCCATGAGGAAGGAACAAATAACTCTTCTAGCTCACCTTCCTCACTCCACCATACTCATTTCTTCTGAGATTCATTATCCCCTCTACACATGCTTTGTCAACTCCAGAATGTCTGCCTTTTCTCTCCCCAGTCCTCCACCCTCACCCCTCTTTCACACCATTGAAGCTGCCCCTGGAAATTCTTTCTTCATCTTAAATCCATATCACACCAGTCCCTACTTAACGTTTTCCATGAGTGAAGACCACTACCGATACAACCAAAGAAAACATTGCTAATTTCTACCAGAAGGCACTCTGCCCCATTCCTGAAAGGAGACAGATGTCTTCCTTTAAATGGAAATTCTAAACCAAATTTTATAGAGAAACTTTCTTATCTATGGCAGGTATGCTCTACATTCCTATGAACGATATTCATCTTCAGGTTCTTTTGGGAATTAACCTTAGAACCTATCAAGAATATTTTTTTCCAAGAGTGAAATGATTACAAATTCTACAAAACTCTCTTATAAACCAACTCTAGATGTAATCCTTCCATGAGTTGGAGCCTCTCTGTGTCATTTGTCTTTTGGGTCATCCCCACCTCTGGACTCTTAACTGTTTCTGTATATTCCCAAATAAAATTTAAATTACCAACCAATCACACCATCCAGACCCTTTCACAAGATCCTTAGAACTCATATCACGTCCACAAAATCCCAAGAATCCTTAAACTCTCCTCTGAATGATTACTTCCATCCTTTTCTAATCAAAGGCTGGCAATCTTCTGAGAGTACTGTTTTCCCAGCCACCCTCTATACTGGGAACTGGGTTCTGCTCCCCAACCTGATCCAGAACTTCATATTATTGAAGGCAGGTAGCTTTCTACTACCTCTTTACTGTCACTCCCACAACCTTAAAACCCACCACTTTAAAGGATGTCTCTAGTCTTTATCACCTGCTGCCCCTTTATGTGGCAGCTGTCTACTGTTATCCTGGATGTGCCACCTCCTTCACTCTACCCTACTATTTTCTCACTGTCATCATATGATGTCCTTACTTCCCTCCTTACTGGACTTATGTTGCCCATCCCTGTAATCACATTAGCGCATATACCGGCAGTCCTTGTATCCATCTCTCCTTCCACTATACTTGCCTGGTAAAGCCCTGGCTCTGGTTAAGCCCAACACTCTTCCACCTTGTCCCTGTACTTGAGTGACTAAATCTGGTTGTAGAAAACTGCACAATCACACTGGCTACTGATAAACCATATTGGCTACTAGTCAACCCCACTAAATTTCCCTGGTTGGTATACTATCCTACCCTCCAGGTTAGCTATCTCACACTTTCTCTCTCAAATGCCTCCTTCTCCAAAACCTTCCTCCTCACTGTCCACTGATGGCCTTTCTTCATAGTTCATCGAGAATAGAAGCAATCAGAAGATAAAATCTTCATCTTGCCACTACCAATTCTAGTGCCACTTACCTCCAAGTCTACCCATATATTTTATCTTCCCTCCTATTATTGTTTCTGCTCCAATCTAAGGCCTATTTTTCGTTCCCTCTTGCATGCCCAAGCTCTTGCCTGTATTTCTGGACATAAAAATACAACCAAACTACCAAACAAAACCTTCTCTTGATGCTGCATCCTCTAGCTATCATTGTTTTTTTAATGACAAAAGTGCTAAGAAGCACTGCCTTCCTCTTGCATCTGTTTTCTTAGATTTTAGTCTCTCTTGAGGAATCCCCTACCTGTTCCCTGAATCAACACTTGTCAAGGCCACCGCCAGCCTCCATGTTGCCAAATCCTATGGTCAATTTTCAGTTGTCCATCGGCCTTTTTTAAGCACTATTTGCCATGGCTTCCAAAATATCATATCTTTCCTCCTATCTCTGGCAATTCCTTTCCTTGCTGGTTTTTCTTTTTGTATTCTAGGGCTCAATCCCAGGACCCCTTATTTTCCACGCCCATACCTTCTGCCTAAAGGGTTTCATTTTGTTCTAGGATTTTAAATATCTCTAGACTAATAACCCTAAAATTTGCATCTGCAGCCTCATTTAGCCAGTAGCCTATCACACACTTCCACTTTGAAATTCTGTAGGCCTCTCAAAGTTAAATCCAAAACAGAACTAATGGTTTCTCTTCTTGACCCCCAAACTGCTCTTGCCTGGTCTTCTCTACTTCAGCAAATTTCATGACCTTCCATCTACTTACTCAGACTAAAAATCTGCCAGTCATCCTTAATTATTTACTTTTTCACATACCAATATTCAGTCTATCTGAAAATTTTATTGGCTGTGCCCATATAATAGATCCCAAACTTGGCCATATCTTAATGCTTCTACCTTCATCCAAGCCTCCATCAACTCTTGCCTTGACTGTTATAATGGCTTCCTGATAGTTCCCCTGCTTCCAGAGTACTCCTCCATAGTGTATTCTTCATATAATAGCCAGAGTGATCTTTGTAAGATGTAAATTAGGCCATGCTCCTCTTTTGCTCAAAACCTCCAGTGGCTTCTTACTATTCTTATAACAGAAGGCACAACCCTATACCAGTCCATAAGGCGCACTATGTTCTGGATTTTGTTATGCCTCTGACTTCTGTTCAAGTCACCCCAGCATTTTGCCCATTTTGAACTCTTGGCCAACCTCTGGGACTTTCTACTCACCTGGCCCACTGTGTGAGAGGCTCATTCTGCAGATATTTGCATGCTTTGCAGAAGACATCTGTAGGCAGGAAGCCATTCTACTTAAACTAGTCTCCTCCCTATCAATCCCTGCTTTATTTTTCTTTATAGCATTCATCTCTACTTGAAAATATAGTATATATTTTTTATTCATTTACAAAAATGGGGACTTTTCCTTTTTTGTTCACCAATATATTCTCAGAACCTAGAACACATAAGACATACAATAAATGCTTGAAGTATATTTATCCAATTAACGATTGTGTGGAATATACATGCCTGTGAGAGCAGGTACACACACATACACACACAGACACACACACACACACACACACACACACTGCTATCCATTTATTCCTTTGGTGAAGTTTGGTACCTGTATTTCAATTTTTACTTACAAATGTAAACAAAAACAGACTTTCAGAGTTAAAACTTCTAGTGCTTTAGATGACTGTCATCTCAGATGCTACAAAGAAAATTGGAATGTACTTTTTTGCTTCCATTTCTTGCTTTGGTGTCAATCTATATGTAAAATAAAATCCATTATAATGCTTTGGAGGCATTACTGTGCTTCCTAGGCCCACCAGAGGGGACAAGCTGGTTGACCAGCTCTTAGGACTCCTGTTTCCCATATCATCACGTGTACCTGCAACTGTGCTTCCCCCAAATACATGCACAGAACTTACATGACATGCATAGGCTAAACCTGATTTCCTAAAGCAAACTCTTACTATAGTGATCACTGTTATTTCCATGGGGAGAGAGCTGACTCAACCACTGCTAAGTCCTTGGATCATTATAAAAAGGGCTCTAACCAGAGATATCACACAAGGTAGTCTCCAGAACTGTTTATTTATAGACCATAACTTCATTCTTAAAACACAAAAATACCAAAACCCGGAAATGTGTCCCCTAACTTTGTGGTAAAACTGTTTTGATAAACATACTTGCTTTTTTTCTTATGGTTGATTTAGTTTTACTCTGACTCATACCAAAAAAGAAAAAAGAAAAGATGGAGGGGAAGAGAAGAAAAAGAAAAATAATTGAGGTGGCACATTTACCACTGATTTACTGCTTCTCAGACTATGTTAGATAGTCCCTGTTCTTAATTCATCTGTGTGTTAAACTCAAGAACAAAGACATCTGATAAACACTATTAAATGTGCAAAACAGCAAAGGAATTTAAGTTTTAAATGTCTCAAATATATTTTTACAGGAAAACACAGTACAAATTTTGTCAGCCGATATGATCCTCGATTTAATAGCTGGATACAACTTCCACCCATGCAAGAAAGGTAAGTGTTTATTTCTTATGTCTGAACATTTGTGGTTGCTTTACAGGAAGCATGGATGCTGAATGGTTTTCTGTGGTAAATTATGCTAAATGGAGCCAATGAAAGACACATGAGTCAAGATGCAAAATTTGACCTGGCCAATTTAGAATAACTACTTTATTAACTCAATGGAGAAAAATAATCAGATAAGCCAATTATTGGTCCTAAAGGAGGAAGAAAAAAAAATGTATGACTTGTCTTCTCTTACCACGTTGCTTTGGTTTTTTTAGCAAGTGGACCTAAAACCTCATCGCCTATCCCTCTTTTTTCAGTGATAGTATATTTTAATCCTATCACTGAAATATAAAACACCATTCTTACGATAATATCCATTTTGATGTAGAAATTGCAGTATTAAGTGCTCCAAATCTCGCTAACTCAAATACTTTACATTTGCCCTCTCAACTATCTTCCCATCATACGTTGAAGAACAGATCATTTGTTCGCTTTTAAAAAAATAGTTTTGCAAGGTGTCATCTTATCTTTTATGTATTTGGGGTTTATCTCAAAGTCTCCTAGCGGCCAAGGGACAAGTGGCTACTACATTTATACATATTTTGCTGCTCCTGCTCTTACCCATGTGAGGCCACATCTTAACAAGCATGTGCGAATTCCTATGCTGAATTTTGAGCACTCGATTCTTTTTGAATAATACTTTAGGGTGGCTCAGTCGGTTGAGCATTTGCCTTCAGCTCAGGTCATGATCCCAAGGTCCTGATAGGGAGCCCTGCAAGGGGTGGGGAGCCTGCTTCTCCCTCCGCCTCTCCCCTTGCTTATGCTCTCTCACACTCTCCCTGTCAAATAAATAAATAAAATCTTTAAAAAAATAATAATAGTACTTCAACACCCTCTTGAGGAAAGTACCCACCATGATAACAATAAGCTGCAACCTATTTCTTCTTCTCAACTGAATTATTTAAGAAATAATTTTCTTTCCTGTTTCCCTCAGGACTCTTCACCTTAACGTCTCTTTTATAAACATTCACTAAGATTACACTGGGATCAACTTAGATCCTTAATCATAAATTCCAAGTTAAAAGGAAGTTTTCAGGGATCCCTGGGTGGCGCAGCGGTTTGGCGCCTGCCTTTGGCCCAGGGCGCGATCCTGGAGATCCGGGATCGAATCCCACGTCGGGCTCCCGGTGCATGGAGCCTGCTTCTCCCTCTGCCTGTGTCTCTGCCTCTCTCTCTCTCTGTGACTATCATAAATAAAAAAAAAATAAATTAAAAAAATTTAAAAAAAAAGGAAGTTTTCAGATACTATCCTTGATTCAAAAATGTGCGTTGCTGCAGCAAGACAGTTTGAATCAATGTTAGGAGAAAACTCCATATCCAACGCTCTGTTCCCTCTAAATAAATTAAAACTCTCTTTCAAGAGCTTAAAAGCTATACATTGGAAATGATGATACACAGTATAAGAACCACAGACACTTTTAGGAAAAGGTGTAGTTCAAAAATACCTCGGGAAATTATTCTAGTTAATGTCCTGACCAACTTCTCTGTCCCTGTCGTGTGCATACATGTGTGCATGGGAGCCTCGCAAAGCCTTCCTCCAGTGTGCCTGGTGTCTCTCCCTCGGGGGTTATTTCGTGGATCCTCTTATTGTGGCTGCATCACTTTACCATTTAATCAAAACCATTCCAAAAAGTTTTATTTAAAAAATATTTTTCAAATAAATATCATAATATGTTTGAAATGACAGCATCTCATCACCATGGTCCCCTTTGCTGGGGGCTGCACACCACGATAATTAACCTTCACGCCTTCGGTTTGGGAAGCATAACTCACGTCGCGGTCAATTATCTCACTGTAGAGCCCCTAAGGATGAGAAGTATTGCTGCAAAACCTAATTAGTAATTTTTTTAAATGTGTATTGTTTACTTGATATTCTATAATGACTTCCTCTGAGGCACTATGGCCTATCATGGCAGGGTCCTACTTAGACAATTTTTAGCAGCTCATTGACCTGATAAAAAGACCTGCCATGGTCTGTCGGCGCCCGGCAGCCACCGTTGACAGGATGGACTGTTTAACGTTTCTTTCTAAGTCATTATGGTATATCATGTCAGGTCCCTAGTAAGAGAAGTTTTTTTTTAGATTTAGAACAATCAACTCGATAGACCAAATAAAGAGCTCCTTACAGAGCTGAGTGGGAAAAGGCAGATCTCACAAATGCCCAGTCAATCTTCTAGCTCCAGATCTCCTATGGGTTGGTTGACCCAGGCAGCAATCCATAACTTAAAGTGAAATTTTTCTGTCATTGCCAAGCCTCCATTCTAAGTAGCATTCTAAGTTACTGGCGTGGCTTAATTGGTGATTAAACAAAGAAGAAAAAAAAGTAAAAGAAAATATTGAGACACCCTTCAGATCTGAAAAGAAGTTTCTTGAAACATTTAAATGAGTTAATTTTGCATTGCATACATCATGAATTAGACTCACCAGAAGTTCCCCAACCTCCCTCCTTCCATGAGTTGCTACCAAACTGCTAAGAAGTGATTATGCTGAGAAATTACCAAACTGAGAATAATAGAAACATGTTGAAAACCACCTCTGGGGTAACCCACTCCTAGAGCTGGCTGGACAGACTCCTAACATCTTTTACCTAATCAGAGCTTCCAAAGGAGTGCTCTAATATAAATGCAGGATACTCCCTGCAACACACACGCACACACACAAAGCTCAACAGGGGAATGGATACACTACTCCTAGGTTTACTCAGCTAACTCATGGATTACATCCCTGCTACCTATGAATTGGTTGCAGGAAAACATACATTTAAATGTAATGCTACTGAGTTGTTTTGGTCTCAGATGTAGGATTTGATTCTTCAGTGAAACAAAGAGGTTAAAAAATTGAAACTAGGATCAATAGAAATGATTTGATAACTTTACACTTTTTTCCAGTAAAAAATAGATATTTTAGGTATTGTTCATATGGAGATCTTACCTCCTAGCTAGTCGAGAAAAAAAAAAAAAGATGAAAAAGAAAAAGCAGTTTGGAGAGCACCAATAACAAAGTTCATATTTCACAGAGTAAGAGAAATGCTAGAAGCAAATACATTAAAAAAATTGTTTCCAAATCTAAATACGTTGTTTCTAGAAGCCTTACAAGAGACAATGTAAGACGTAAGACAATATTCTGTTTGAAAAAAAAATCTGTTACCGTTTTTAACCTGAGGTTGAAAGTCAAGAATTCAAGCTGATCTAAGGCTATAGTAATTCAATCTCATGCTTTAGGGTATAAACTGACCATCTTAAGGGTCAGAAAGAACTAGTAAAGACCTGTACAATACGCAGCGTTCAAAGTATGTTTGTAGAAGTTGCTGGTAGTCTCTTTAAACTTACTGCAATGCATTGACTATTGCCTCTGGCTTTGGGGGAAGGAGGGGCTGGAGGAGGGATGGATGAACAATTTGAAATAGAAATAGCGCAATCCCATTTAAAAATCTTCTGTAATCTTGAACTTACTTTTCAAACAAAACAAAACAAAAAAACCCAAACAGCTAAATTCTGTGTGTTCTTCATGTGGGGAGGAGGGGCTGGGAGCACTCCCAGGAGAGACCTGGTATGGTAAAATTCAGCCTGGAGCAAATATTCACAGATGCTGACAGACCATTAACTATCCATTGTTCCTACGATGCATTTCATGAATTCTTACTTTGGGCTAGCAAGGGAATAAGTCATAGGCTCAGAATCTTCACTATTGGAATTTCTACATAAAAATGCACTTTTAGTCAGGAAATGAAACCTGCTGATTTTTTCCCCCATTTAGATCCTAACAGTGACACTGTGTGGATAAAGCTAGGAGTACACACGAAGCATCAAATTAAGAAAATATTGGCTAAAACAAGAGCAAATTCTGACAGGCTCACTTAAGGTCAGGAAGAAAGGAAGGAGCCAGGACAGAAAAAGTGAGAGAACTGAAATTTAGTCTAGATGAAAGAAGTTCACACTACGGTGAGGAGATCTTGCTCTTATTCGCCATTATCTAAACTTATTTAATGGAGGGTTTTCGCACTTGTCATGACTAACAGGCATTTTCTCTTCTAGACCAGTATATAGCGCAGAGAACTCAACACCTTACAGCCCACATAGTTCAAATTATTTAAAGATGGCCCAGTAGTAAAATTATTTCAGAGGCTCTATGACTTGTTATAGACTCATCGTATAGAAAAAGGGTACTGATACTGATGTACTCTTGTGTCCATGGTGCAAAGAAACATCTGTTACTTCAATCTATTCTTGTAGACAGATCAGTCTTTTCAATAAAACATTTTAACTAGGCAGCCCAGGAGGCTCAGCGGTTTAGCACCACCTTCAGCCCAGGGTGTGATCCTGGAGACTTGGGATCGGGTCCCACGTCAGGATCTCTGCATGGAGCCTGCTTCTGTCTCTGCCATTCTCTCTCTCTCTTTCTCTCTCTCTCTCTCTCTCTCTCTCTCTCCCTCTGTGTCTCTCATGGATAAATAAATAAATTCTTTTTAAAAATATTTTAACTGAGAGGGTAAAAATCCTTGTAAGACAACCGTGACCTATCACATTCAATGAGAGAACAACTGAAATCTGGTTAGAGAAATAGAAGGAAGTAATGGACATCTGTGGGCATTTAATTTTGCGACTGTTTTTAACCTAATTGTATATTTAAATGAGTTTTTACTTCTCTGTAACAGAAAATCTCAAAATTTTTTAGATTAATTATTGCTCTGATAATCTGATTAAAAGCTTTTTCCAAATACTTTCTCCAAACCTATTTTCTCCAAAAAATGCACATGTGCAAAACCTATATATGCAACTTTTTATGGCTATTTTATTACAATGTCAGAGTTTCCTGAACCCCTCAGAAGACCCAGAGGGCCCAGGTTAATAGGCCTTATTTTAGGACATCTGCCACTCCTGCTTTTTATTTTCCTCCCTCCTTTCTCCATCATTGTGTTCTTTGCCATCCTTCTGAATTTCCCACAGCACATATTTCTTTCAAAAGCATCAAGAAAATACAGAAAAAACAAAGACAGCCAACATTTTGCTCTAAAATTATCAATGATGCTAACAGTTTCAGGAATACTTAAAAAAACCTGAACCATACAATATCCAAAGAGAAAGAAATCAGTATCCTCAAGGGATATCTGTACTCCCACGTTCACTGCAGCATTATTCACAATAGCCAAAATATAGAAACAATCTGCCTACCAACAGATGAATAGATAAAGAAAATGTGGTATATATGTACAATGGAATCTTATTTACGGCTAAATCCTGCCATTTGTGACAACATGGATGAAATTGAAGGCTATTTTGCAAAGTAACAGATGCCAAACAGAGAAAGACAGATACTGCATGGTATCACTTATATGTGGGATCTAAAAAAAAAAAAAAATGAAGAAGCAAAAAAAGAAGTCAAACTTACAGAAACAAAATGAATGGTGGTTGCTAGGGGCTAGAGGATGAAGGAAATGAGAGATTGGTGAAAACGCAGACACATTCAGTTACACAATGAAAAAGTTCTGAATATCTAATGTATTAACATGGTGACTATAGTTGATCTATCGTTAACATTGTAGCGTATACTTGAAATTTGCTAAGAAAGTAGATCTTGTGTTGTCACCAAAAAAAAAAAAGGTAGCTATGTGAAGTGATGGATGTGTTAATTCACTTGATTATGCAAATCCTTCCACAATGCATGCATGTATCAAATCATCACAGTGTAACTTTACATATATTACAATTTTATTTGTCAATTATCCCTCAATAAAGCTGGGAAAAATAAAGCAAAACTGAATACATCATCATCTATAACATAGACGATTATCTACATGGTAATAAATCACCTAAACCAACATTAAAGAATTTAACTGTCATTTAAAGTATTACTAGGAAAAGTTTCCTTGCAAACACCCTGATGGCTGATTTTTAAAAACTTTTTTGTCTGGGTAATGTTAACTGAAGATTCCAAAGCATGAACACAAACGGGGACACTAAGATGGCACTTTACATATGTATTTGCAAATAATCCTCTAAGGAAGGTACCATTAACATCTCCCTGTTACAGATGAGCAATCCAGACTGAGAGGGGTTAAGTAACATGTCAAAGGTCACGCATCCAATAAATCTTGTAGCCAGGCAATCTATCCCAGAGACTAAAATGACAATCAAGATGTTGAATACTGCTTCCCAGAGGTTTTGGCACTTGGTAAACAGAGCTTCAAAAATCTCCTGATAAAAACCTCTAGGACTGGATCTTGCTACTCACATGGTCCAAGAGTCTTGGCACTAAATTTTATGAGGACTATCCATTCTTCAAACAAATTATACTCTCTGAGGGGCTTAGCATTTAACAATTGTACTTATTCAGTATTGGACCACATGTTATCCCCAAAATATATGTGATTCCAGTAGCATCAATGAGAAAAAAGAAGCAAAAGGTCAAGGACTTGCTCAGCATATCAACCTAGTCATCCTAACTCCAAATTTTTGAGTCACCTTTGAACATCAGCTCTCATGTCTTGCTGGCTCCCAGGTCTTATGTCTTGCTCTAAAACATCTTTTGCATCTGCCCTTGTATGTCTTCCATAAAACTCTAATTCAGGCCCTCGATATCTCACTCCTGTTTTATGGTGTACCTCAGAATTGGTCTCCCTGTCTCCAGGCCTTTCAACACAGCTGGTGTCTTTGGCCTTTGAAGGCGTACTGGGAAAATTGAATAAAGTGCCTCTCTTGAATAGAGACTGAAAAATATCCTGTAGCTTTGTAAGAAGCAACACCGAAAGCCATATCAATGAAATTCCTACAATAGGTTATGTAAGAGCAAAACTTCAACACTAAATTCAGTTCACAAAAGTTTCTCTATTTGCAGTAGTACTGGGAATGAAAAAAACGATAATTGAAGAAAAAATTTGATGATGTAGTTCTCTTATAAATTGGGAACAATGACCCTTGAAGGACCATGAAAAAAGTGAATGTCAAGATAATTTATTATTGTTACATTATCTACCTCATTTTTCACTTTGTCTTACTGAGCTGTGATATCCTTACAAGGTACCTAATATCCCAAACATTAGTGAACACTTTACCAGTGTATAAGAAAGCAAGAGGAAAGGAGCTGCTGCATCAGAGTTGGTGAAATTTCTCCTCTACTGTTACTTTAATATCAAAATGTTAGCCAGAGTGGGCAATGCATATGATTACTGTAAAGGTCTCAGATTCAGGAGGGGACTGTGTGTAATTTCCAAATTTCTGCTAGCCTTTTCTAAAGCAGGATGTACCTCCTTTGCCTGACTGAGCTCCTTTTGTGATTTACGGTGAGTTGTTGTTTTCATTGTAGAAGAGCCAGTTTCTATGCATGTCGATTGGACAAACATTTATACGTTATTGGTGGAAGGAACGAAACCGGCTATTTGTCCAGCGTGGAGTGCTATAACCTAGAAACAAATGAATGGCGTTATGTGTCCTCTTTGCCACAGCCCCTGGCAGCTCATGCAGGAGCAGTGCACAATGGGAAAATATACATTTCAGGCAAGTCATTCCTCCACTTTCTGTTACAAAGTTCAGTTCCAAGGCACTTTCTTGACTTGTATGTATATGTTTAATTCACAGGGGGTGTACACAATGGAGAATATGTCCCATGGCTATATTGCTATGACCCTGTAATGGATGTCTGGGCTCGAAAACAAGATATGAACACAAAACGCGCCATCCACACTTTGGCTGTAATGAATGATCGCTTGTATGCAATTGGAGGAAATCATTTGAAAGGTCTTTTTTTTTTAATCACAATATCATTTGCATCTCCTGTTTCTTTGCTAAGGGGGTTTCTTGTTAGATAATCATAGTTAACCAAGTAAAAAACATGTTGACCAAATAAAATCTACTCTGTGTAAATTAGCTGTACCCTTGGGCAGGCATTTATTTTGGCTCCTCTGCAGAGAGGATTATTTTTAAGTTACCACACACATTAAAGAAATGAATAATGATGTCAACAGAAAGTAAGAAACGAGAGCATTAATAACGGAAAAGCACAAACAATTTGTTGTAACAATGAATTCAGTAAAAATAAATTATTCCTTATCACCAAAGTTATAGTAATAAATTTTTTCCGGAAAATTGTTTTTTGTGGTAATCATAAAGAACTTCAGTCATAGCTGCATAAAGAAGCTCATACGTGATTTTTCTTAACAAAAACATTTCATGGAATTTCAAGTCTAAATTGAGAATAAATTCTTCTGCGAGTTGAGTATCAAACCTTCTGTGATTCTCAACTTCCTTCCATTTGCTTTACTAATAGCAAACATTTCAAACAAGGTATTTTTAGGGTTTTGTTTGGGCTCCTTTCCTTCCTTCTCAATATACATCTATGACTACAACTTTCTGCAATTTATGCACACGTGTGTAACCAGGATATGCATGTATGCATGTATGTCATACTGAGCGTGACAGGGAAACAGAGATCTCTGGTGCTGAGAGGAGTCCCAAACTGCTTTGGGCCTCAGTGTCACCTGAAAATGACAAAACTGGTCGAACTGATCTCTAAAATCTCCTCCAGCTCTGACCTGTCACGATCCTTGAAATTGAACCCCATGAGAAGCAGGCCATCCATGTGTGGTAGCTGAAGCCCATCTGTGCATTTACTTTTCCACAATATACCCATCTAAACACTGGGTTAGGTGTAGACATTCCTTTCTGGGCTTTCTCATACATGTGTCCCCCTAACATACTAAAGACCACACAGGTGTCATCATTAAATGTAAATATTTCCAAGTTCATATTTAGTCAGAAAGGTCAGTATCTTCATCTGTGCTGCTCACCTTTGTGCTCTCTTCAGTGGGAGGTTATCTTTGCTGCTGTCACTCTTTTTTTTCTTCTCCTTCTTTCTCACTAGTGTTCCTTCATCTCAATCCATACACCCTGCCTTTACAGCAAAATATTCGTATAAAGTATTAACTTTGTAGCTTTCCTCATTCACATGTGATTTCCTTTGCATATAATGACTAAACATTCTAGAAACTTCTAATGTTTGAGGTTATACTTGAACAGAAAGACTTGGGGAATGACAACCTAAATGAGAAATAACAGTGAGGTTGGTTCAGGGAGACATCATGGCTTAGAGGGAAAGTATGGGTCTGGATCCCAGTTATGCACTTGTGTGGTCTTACCAAGACTCTCAACCTCATGTCTATAAAAGAGAGATAATTATCTTTTCCTTGGTAATTTTTGTGAGGCTTACAGTCAACATATATATGAACTGGGCACAGAGAAGGCATGCATATCCTCCTACGATGCCACTATAGGACTTCAGAACTAGGAATTTGCTCCAATCCTCAAGTATGTATATTATCATCAATAACCTTAATGGGAAAAGGAATATACCATAGAATTCCAGTAAGCCCTTTGCTCTACTGTCCTCAAAGCTATAGGATTTATTTTATGTAAGAAGTTAGTGGCCCGAAATAATTCATCTACCTCTTCCAGAATGAAAATTATTCTACTTTTTGGTCTATCTTCTCAATTACCTTGAAGAGTCCAGTAGGTTAAAAAAAAAAAAAAAAAGAGTCCAGTAGGTTGATTAACTTAGTGTATGCATTGCGTCAGCTAGCAAATATCCATTGCATGCATTTAAATAGAAGAAAAATATTACTAAGGATTTGGTCTGATCGGTGACCATGAAGCTCTCCCCCTATGGATTTTTGACTTCCTAAATTAAAAGCAGAGCCCCAGTGGAGTCCTCGAACTTAAGTTGTTCTCTGCAACCTACTTACTGCCCCAGCCACTGATAAACTTCATCAGAAGTGGGAGGAGCAACCCTTAGCAGAAGTTAGCCCTCTACTCTACCTCCATCCTTAGTGGATATTGGAAATCATGCACATTGTGGCTTATAAATATAAGCTGCTAAAAAGGTAAAAGATGCTGAACACCACGTTTTTAGTTAACTAAAACATTTTGACAGAGTTAAATATTCATTTAGGAAAAGCAATACAGTTTAGTCTGTAAGAATATGAGCTCCAAAGCCTGTTTGCCTGAGTTTAAACCTCAGCCTGTATACTCGCTGGCTGTGTGACTTATTCAAGTCACTACTTTTCTCTGCAACTCAGTTGTTTCATCTGTAAAATGAACATAATGGCATAACTATCCCATAGTGTGGTTGAGGGGAATTAAGTGAATTCATCTACAGAAAGCACTTGGAAGACAACTAGCTTATTGTAAGCATTCTATAAAATGCTTGCTTTTAATTATTATAAACCTTTTTAATAAGGTTTTGATAAACACTTTTAAATAAGATCTACCCCCATATAATCAATGTTTACCAATGACTTGAGTCAGACATTCTTGCTTTGAATTAATTGGAAATATCCAGAATTTGTTTGTTTGTTTGTTTTAGGTCTCTGTAACATGTTTCCCAATTTCACTAGTAAATTTATACTTTTGTCTCTTTAAAGACACAATTATCTGTTTCTTCGCTCTAGAGCATTTTTAAAACGAAGCCCAAACCTTGAATCAGGACCCCAAGAGTTTATCCTTGTGTGGTTCCATCTTGCTGTGTCATTTAGGTTTCTCCCACCTTGATGTAATGCTTGTGGAATGCTATGACCCAAAAGGTGACCAGTGGAATATTCTCCAAACTCCCATTTTGGAGGGTCGAAGTGGTCCTGGTTGCGCAGCGCTTGATGACAGCATCTACCTTGTGGGAGGCTACAGCTGGAGTATGGTATGTGTCCACGTTTACCTTCCCCTCCTGCTTCCTGATTTGTTCTTCCTATGCGTTACCATCCATACGTAAACCTTTTAAGAGTATCATGTTTGTATGCAAGCAGTAAGTTACTTTCGGTAATAAGAAAGAATCAGTATGGTTCCTGTCGAGCTGGCTTCCTATCTGATCAACTGTGTCCCAAAATATGGTCTATCTCTTCTCTCTTATCCCATACTTTTGTGATTCTGCTTTTCCAACTAAAAGTGAGACTAAAGGGGTTTTACAAATGTTCTGTTGAAATTGTTTGCTTAGTTTGTTGAATTGTTTGAATCGTCTGAAAAGTTTCTGACCTGTAAGGCATGAAAACAAAAAATTGTTGAATATCCACAGATTCTCTTTAGAATATATAATTTGCCATTGCTTTTCACTTTGCCCAAATTTTATCGTGAAAATTTCCAAGCTCACACAAAAAGAGTACAGGGGACTCTTGTTAACCCAGCCGCCAGCTTCAAAATCCATCAGGATTTTACCATACTTCATCTGTCCACCTTTTTAAAAATTTTTGCTGAAGCAATTTGAAGCAAATTCTAGACATCATATTATTTCATCCTAAGTGCTTCAGTATTTATCTTTAAAAAATTATTTGTGTATGTAAACATACTATCATCATATCCAACAAAATTAACAATAACTCCTTCATATCTAATCTATATTCAGATTTTTTTCCTATTGAAATGTATATTTCAAGTTGATATGTTCAAGGCAGGATCCAATAGTCTCACTTGTATTTGGCTATTACATCTCATCCATATCTTGCAATCTGGAAAATTACCCCACTCCACTTCTTCTTCCATTAACTTGTAGAAAAGACAAAACAAAAATAAAACAGGGTCAATTATCATAAAGAATAGCTGGCATTCTGGAATTGGTTAATAATTTCTTTGCAATGTCATTTAAAATAGTCTCTGTATTTCCTATAAAATGGAAACTTGGACTTAAGGACTTAATAATTAAGTTCAGCTTTTTTCTTTTTAAAATTTCTTTTCTTCTTTATTTTTTTCTCTTTCATCAAGAACATCTGAGGAGGTGGCTGTGTAGTTCAAATTACATCACATTAGGACACATGTGGGGCCTCATGGTCTGCATAATTCATTTTATATATGATGACTGTTTTATATTTTCTTATTTATGTGTTGGTTTTATAAGATTTATGTGGGGTTTATTTCTTTTGCATCAAACAAGTCTATTGTGTAAATTTGGGGGGGGAGTTTTTTTTATATAAATTTACTTTTTATTGCTCTTCAATTTGCCAACATATAGAATAACACCCAGTGCTCATCCCATCAAGTGCCCCTCTCGGTGCCCGTCACCCAGTCACCCCCACCACCCGCCCACCTCCCCTTCCACCACCCCTAGTTCGTTTCCCAGAGTTAGGAGTCTCTCCTGTTCTGTCTCCCTTTTTGATATTTCCCACTCATTTTTTCTCCTTTCCCCTTTATTCCGGAGGGGAGTTTTAAAAGGGTATTAGTTATATGGAGACAAATATATACTGATATATATAACTAGACATATATAACTTGGCATGTGCTTGTTCGCTGGTACCTATGACTAGCTGCAAAAGTGTACACATTTGGAACCAGACATGAGGAGTACACTTTCAAAATAGGATGATTAGGTTGGTTGGAATTTTTGGGTTTTGCCTATGATAAAAACCAAACTGCTTTGGTTTTGGAAGGGAAACTAGAGAAGCACTACCTCCAGATGTTGACAAAGGAAACAAGATTAAAGACATTTTTTTTATTTCTAATGTGGCCACTTGAAAATCAACCAATCAATCAATCAATGTGCAAAGAAGTTGGCAAGCCCTTTTTTCCAGTTTATCTTAAGCTAGTTTTTAATCCCAGCTCTGATTCTCTACAGTAGTAAAATAAAAATGAGAAAGTGAGGCAACAATCTCAAATCCAATCTCTTTCAATTATTTGAAAATTTAAGATGAATTTTTTTAGTTTAAACCAGCTGGATAAACTCCAATTTTGGTCAATTATTTTAAGGGATTTGCTGATCATCTAGGTGTTATAGGCATTTGACTTTTATTTATTTTTTTAAGATTTTATTTATTCATTCATGAGAGACACACACGCACACGGAGAGAGAGAGAGAGAGGGAGAGAGAGAGAGACATAGGCAGAGGGAGAAGCAGGCTCCATGCAGGGAGCCCAGTGCGGAACTCAATCCCGGGACTCCAGGATCATGCTCTGAGCTGGAGGCAGACGCTTAACCACTGAGCCACTCAGGCATCCCGACTTTTATTATTAATCATACACACACACACACACACACACACTATACACACACATGCAGCAGAAGTTGAAATCTTCTGAATCTCAAATTTTCCCTTAGGATAAAACAGTTTAAAGTCCACTGTTTCATTTAGAACTTTTTAGCAAGAGCAGAGAATTAATATTTTCTTTCCAACGTAAATGTAATCAATAAGATTGTGATTGCACTTCTCTGGACATCCTTCCCTAAATGCCCCCTACTCTGCCATTACAGGGGGCCTACAAGTCATCTACGATATGCTATTGTCCGGAAAAAGGCACCTGGACAGAACTGGAAGGAGATGTAGCAGAACCACTGGCAGGCCCAGCCTGTGCAACAGTTATCCTGCCTGCCTGTGTACCTTACAATAAATAACACCAGGAAACCCTGGAATGAACAGTATCACATTCTAGGAGACAATGACAGGTGACATCACTATTATACTATGAACAGTGCATCCTAATGGTACAACTGCTGAAACCCACCCTTGGTTTCTAATGATTTACAAGTTACTACACAAGAAAAAGACCTGTTCTTGAACAGATAACTGTGTCTGTAATCGGATCACACCAAACTTCCTGTGGTGACAGACTCTTCCATTTCAGACTGGTTTTAACTTGTCCCAGCTTTACAAAAACTCCTCACGTGGATCTTAACTTTCGAAAGGAGAAAGATAAAATACAGAAGAGTGCCCCCAGAGAGACCTAAGATCAGTATTGTGCATTGTAGTCTACCTGCATGTGATCTATGTTGAAGTTTTGGGGATATTGTGTTAATGAATGATTCAGAATTTGACCCCGCTAAAATACTTACTGCATTACCGAAATTGCCACTTGATTCTATATTCCTAACCTGTGGCTACTTCACAGACTCCATAGGCAACACAGTTCTAGAAAATCATAGAAGATTAAAGAGGAACATATTTGTTTCTGTATACCTTCATTTCATTTACCTTCTGCCCCTCACAGCACCTCCTGGGATCAGAGAAGAGAAAGATGTTGGCTCTCGTAGCAATTGCTTTCTGCCCTGTAGGTTGTAGGCTAGCCAGTTGTAATCTGTGTCCTCAATTTTATACAAAAGATTAAAACAAAATGTATTATGTCACTCTTCACTCCACAGAGGCTCATGTTTTCTCATTTTTTACAGTATATAAAAAAGTAGTGAACACACCTGTCATTTCCTTCAAAAGGTAAGACTGACAAAGTCACTCGTACACTATTGAAGAGATGCTGTTGGATCACACATCTGACCCGAACGTAACCCGTACTGAAACTGGGAGATTGCTTTCAGGAATTCAGGGATGAAAAGAAAGAATCGTTTCTTTTAAGTACAATCCCAGTTGTCTCTCTGTCCCTAAAACATACCACTTAAAGGAGCCACAGGAGTGAATTATAGCTCTTAACAGATATTTCGCCCTCTTCCTCACCCTTGGCTCTAGGAATGCTCTAGATTTGGCTCTAGAAAAGCACACGACTTACCCCTGATTGTTCTCCAACTCACCATATTTGTCTGTTATCGCCAAAGATGCCTGAGCTCAGTTAGGTGAGCAATTGCTAGCTGTCTTTAGGAGCATGAGGAATTTAGGAGAAGGTCAGGACAGCATGAGATACTTTTCAGTGTGGCCAGTCAAAAAAGCAAAACCGGAAGGAACATGAATTTTATTTTCAAGCCCTTCAGAGCTGAAACAGCAGCAGTTAGGAGTAAATACTAGTCTAAAATATTCTTTGATCACCCAGAGGTGTTGTTGAACCCCTCAACAAATGTGTCATTCCAAACAACAACCTGAGGAAGGCACAGATTAAAAATGCCTTGGTGATACGCTTTCACTGCGGAGCATGTCCAGATAGATGGGTGTGTACTGGAATCTAACGCCGTTTCTACAGTAAAGTGCAATCTTTGTTGTTTTTGTATTTATTTGTATGTTCAGATCCAAAGGATCCGTTGTAAAAATATATATATAAATATATATATATATATCTATCTCCAGTGCAATCAACTTTCATTTCTTTTTCCTTGAAAACATAACGATATAGAGAAGGAAAGAAAAGTGACAGCACTTTGTGGGGAAAATCCTAGCTGGCATCATGAAGAGAACAAGGTCAGCTTCAGAACCTTTGATCGTCAACTGCTACCATTTCTTCTGAAAGTCACAGTTTATATGAGGATATTCGCTTTCCTTAGACTTGTTCTTTGTTTATTTTTTATTTCTAGCCAAAATAAATAAGAGCATTTATGATAACTATAAGTAAAGCTTTCTGTATTTCAGAAAAGCACACACTATTAGAAGTGAAAAGTGAGTACATAAGTCACAGAGATTGTAAATTTTGTACAGTATTAGAATGTGTAAATGAAGCTTGCTTGGAAGGGGAAAACTTTAAATAAAAACTTTATGTACTAATTCAATTGCCTCATATTCCTACTTATAAGGCATATGTATGAATCTCTACGGTGGATTGTTCAAAGGTTTACAATATGTAAGTGCCTAACTATTGTTATTCTGCTGATATGTTTTTCAAGTTTATTTAGCTTCCTGGCAATATGTAAACATATATGGTATGGACAATGCAGAGAAATTATGGAATGCTTCTGAAAAAATAGTGAGTTAAAAATTATCAGTTAGGGGGTGCCTCAGTCAGTGCAGTGTGTGACTATTGATCTTGGGGTAGTGAGTTTAAGCCCCAAGTTGGGTGTAAAGCTGACTTAAAAAAATTATTTTTTTTAAAGTCATGAGGAGAATCTAATTTGTCCACTGCAAGAGTGCTGTAATGAGGTATACATTATCTAAGATCTAGAAACTAAATATTTATGCAGATTATTAGAGGCACCATAGGTGTTAAACAGTACTCGCACACTTGCTAAAGAATAAGCGAATCACCCACTTAACTGGATAAATCATCTTAAAACAGTATTTAACTGTATTTTCTTCTTAAAAATCTGAAAATGAAGTGCAGGGTGAGGAAAGAGGCTGTGGGAGATAGTAGAAGAAACTGAAGCATGTAGCTGAAGGTAGAAGTTAGGCAACCTTCTAGGCAAAGAGCTGTGAAGGGCTGGAAGCTATTTCCTAAAGCCTGCAAGCTGGAAATAATTTACTTTAATTCTTCCCAGCAAGTGTGCCTTCATTGATGATTAAACTCATGATGAAAGGATCATATGATCCCTCCGAATATTCCATGAAAACAAGAGTAATGGAGTTTCTGTGTTCTTCTACTGGATGTCCTGCTTTCCATGCTTGCTCTCTATGGTAGCCTCTGTTACCATCTTCTCCTGAGTCAATCGGCTAGTTGTTGCAGGGCTTCTTCCAAATGCCCTGAATTCCCAAAATCTCTAGTACTGACCAGATATGGACAGTCAAGCAAAAACTTGTTTTTTTCCTAATCCCAAGGAACCGCCTACTTTAAGTCCATAACTAGACTGGCAAAAACCAGGAGCGTGAGCATAGGAACCAGATTTTTTAGTCAGTGAAGCTGTGTTTCTAGGCTTAAAATTAGTACCTGTATTTGTGCTCCCCTATTAGGGCCAAATGCATATTTTTCCAGCTGTTTGATATTTACATCACCTAACAAATTGTCATCATTATCAACATTATAAGTAACAAGTATTTATTGAACACATCCCAGAAGACATCACTATAAATGTCAGAGTTCTTATTAAATTTGGTTCTCTAGGTCAAAGTATTTTTTAAATGAAATAGCAAGTGAGCTAAAATAAGGTTGGCAAAACATTCCCAAAGCCAATTAATACACATTGGTGGGTATCTTGATAGACTGAGGTCACATATATGAAGTACCAGGAAGATCATGACTGATCAAGCCTGACTTCCTAGAGGCATCTGATCTAGAGAATGTTGAAACTGTGATAGAAAATGAAATGGCAGGGCATCTGGGTCGTTCAGTCGGTCAAGTGTCTCACTCTTGGTTTCAGCTTAGGTCATGATCTTAGGGTCATGAGAACAAGCCTTGTGTAGGGTTCCATGCTCAGTGTGGATTCTGCTTAAGGTTCCCTCCCTCTGCCTCTCCCTCCACTCATACTCACTCTCTCTCTAAAATAAATAAATCTTTTTTAAAAAAGAAAAGAAAATGGCAATGAAAAGAAGCAGAAAGGTCAACATAAAAAGAAACTAAGTAGTATGTTTTCTTTGTGTAGATGTATCCATACAGTTCTGCTCTGGTTGGTACAATAAATACAGGCCAAGGATTGGATGGGGCTCTTGATGGAGGTATTCTACATTTGTTGAGTTTACAGTCTTGGTGTAATGACAAAAAGTTCATTTTTACAGATGAATAAGAAAAATATGCTTTAAAAATGCAACACAATGGTATCAGAATAAGAAAGAAGTCTTCTACAAATTGAAGTTTAAGTGGCTCATTTTATTCTAGGTTATTGTCTGGCATATATTAAGGACACAGTAAATGCCAATTCTTAACATTAGTATTACCTTAGTGCTTTTAGCTCACTAATGATCCTAAAAACAAGATGACTGGAGTGAGTTAACATGTAGAACTGTCCACTCCTCAAGCTAAAAAGAATTATATAACTTCAGGTAAAGTGGTCCTTGATTCTAACCTCCCCTTTTGTTTTTCATTTATTAGGCTGACTCTTCCTCTGAGGCCTTTCAAATCCCCTATGTATGACAAAATGACACATGGAGTTAGGTGGTGGGGTAAGGGGTAGTGAGGTAAACATTCGGCTGTGGAATGAAGTCATCCTACATTTAGAGAGATAGTGGCTTCTTGCTCCCAATCAAGTCACTCAAATCCAGGATATTTGGGGGGAGGTGGATCTGGGTAGCTCAGTTGGTTAAGCAGCTGCCTTTGGTTCAAGTCATGATTTCATGGGTCATGGAATGGAGCCCTGTATAGAGCAGCCTGCTTCTACCTTTCCCTCTGCCTGTCCCCTCCCCACTTTGTGATTTCTTACTCTCTCTCTCTCTCTCTCTCTCTCTCTCTCTCAAACAAATTAAATCTTTTAAAAAAATCAGGGACATTTGGAAACTGATTGAACTAAATTAGGAAAAAGGAACAAAAGAAATAAGAATTGTTTATGAATCAAAGTTATGTCAACAATATTATAACACCATAACACTCCCACTAATTTAACGCTTGTTATAAATCAGGTATTATGCCAGCATTTTATACATGTTTTCTCATTTACTCTTCTGAACAATTCCATGAGGTAAATATTTGTTCATATATTAAAGGTCAGGACACTTAAGCTCAGGAAGAGTACACTATTTGATAAGGTCAGACAGCTGATAGGTAATGGAGCTAGGAGTCAAACCAAGGCTTTAAGATTAAGTCATCCTCTAACCACCATCTTCTCCTGCCAACAAAGAAACTTCTTAAGTCAACCATTTGAAGTCATTGGTGAATTGTTTGTCTACATTTGCCATCTATGAAGATGTGCTGGAGGGGACAGTGAACAATGAATGATGATGCATCATGGCAAATGCTGTCTTGTTGGTGTAAATTAGCTACAGGGATGTGAAGAGTGGGCAAAAGGAACTTGTTCTGTGATCTTCAGAGGTCATGGACTTTCTCCAACTTGAGTTTCGTCATCTGTATATGGAGTGATAATCTCTTATTCAAACCATCATCATGAAAATCATATGTAAAGAATGTGAACACTTTGCATCTTGTGAACTTCAAAGTGAAATATGCAGATCAGCTACCTGGATGCAACGACAAAGTCCAACTTTTCCCTTGGCAGGAAAGATACCTTAAAATCTGGCCTCAGCCTCACTTCTAGGTGACATTTTTCTTTCCTTCTGTGTTCATTGAGCAATGTGAATCCTTGCTTTTCCACAAACACAGCTATGCTTTTCCATCTTTGCCCTTTTGCTTGTGCATTTTCTCCACAGAGAATGCCATTTCATGCTCAACACTATCTATTAAAATCATGTCCTTCAAGGTCTTGTTCAAACTCCACTGCTTTCATTAAGCCTTCATGATCACAACAGTC